GAAATTCAATGCAATTCCATTCAAAATCCCAACAAGGTTTTTAAAACTTGACATGTTGCCCCTAAAAGCCAGGTGAGCATCTAAAGGGGCCAAGAAGAGTTGACAATTTCAAAGAAGTATGAGGAGGGAGAGCTTGCCCTACTGGATACAAAGACTTCTTATGAAATCATAGTAATGCATATCATATACAAAAATAAACTACAGGTGGATTGTGTATCATCCAGCAAGCAAAACCATAAAGCAAAAATAGCTAAATTCAACCTCATTGAAAAGAAAAACTTCTATGGCTCAAAATGTGCCAAAAAGCTAAAAGACAAATCACACACTAGGAGAATATAAATGCAACCCATAAAATTGGCAAAGGATTAGTATCCAGAATATATAAAATCTATGAATCATTATTAAAAACTCAATTCACTGGGAAAATGGTCAAAAGATGACAAGTAATTATGGAAGAAGGCACCCCCCCCAGCCGGGAACCACGAAAGGCTCAACCTCACCACAAATCAGAGCAAATGAAAATAAGGTGATTCCACTGTGGACCCACAAGAGTACTGGGAAAGAAACGTCTGGCGATACCAAGTACGCAGGAGACAGAAACTCTCAAGGACAGCCAGTGGGAGTGTAAGTCCGTTAACTCACTCTGGAGGGGACTGGGGAAAAGTTCATACAATTAAAGATGCACACGGCCTACTTCCCAGCAATTCCACCTCTAGATACACACCCTGAAGAAACGACCATGTGTGTGCACAGGGAGATGTGATCAGGGGTTTAAATTGCTTCACTTTCTGTGTCAAACAAACGTATGTGTGTGTGTATAATAAAATACATATATTATTAAACACATAAACATTATATGTTTAATAGTATATATATTATAAATATTGTAAAATACTGCACAATAGGTAAAATAAATGAGCCAGTCTACATTTATAAACAAAGAAAAATCCAGATAACATGTTGACAGAAAACGTAAGTTGCAGAAGAATGTCTGTAACATGATACCATATAAATGTTAAACACAATATTGTATGCTTTACAGAAACATTTTTATATATACATTTTATATATTTTTAATATATTTTATAGAAACACACACACACACATATATATGAGTCTAAAAATATGGATGGAAAGGACAGCTTCAGAAGAGTGATTTACTCCTGGAGAAGGAGAGATGAAAATGGAATCAAAAGGGGGCCTTAATTCTGTCGGTCAGGTTTTATTTCTTAATAAGACAAATAGATGTGAATTAAATACGGCTTTTAACATTCACTGTATCTGGAGAGTAGATATGACATTTGTTACATCATTGGTGTTAGTTATATTTTCCTCTGTATTCTTTTTGTTTAAAATAGTTCATAATTAGAAAAATCATTTTTTACATAGGGGAAGGGAGGAAAATCCTTCATAACGTGAGTGGGCCTCATCCAGGACCTCCCTTCCCTGAGCAAGAAGGAATTCTGCCCACAGATGGCCTTTGCACTCAAGCTGCCCATCTTCCTGAGTCTCCAGCCTGCTGGCCTACCTAGCAGATTCTGGACCCACCAAGCCTCACAGTCACGTGAGCCAGTTCCTTAAGAAGTTGCCCACGGGACGTTCTTTAGGAAGAGCAACTGCAGAGGCCCTAAGGAAGGGACAAGTGCGGTGTATGAGGGACAGAAGGGAGACGAGTGGTGGGGAGCAGCCAAGGAGAATGGGAATGTGGTCTGAAATGGGTCTGGAGTGACAGGCAGGGGCAGGTCAAGGAGGCTCTTGTGGGCCCTAGGGAGGAGGTCGGGTGTCACTCACTGCAGTTGGATCGTGTTGAGGACGGGAGACAGCAGAGGAAGATGGCCAGTCAGCAGGCTGATCCAGTGGCCAGATGAGAGACTGACACAGATGATCCCAGCTATTCACACTATGATAAAGTCCACAACGTTTTCCCATTGAAGGGTCTTAGCAAGGCAAGGTGCTCTAGGACATACACTGTAGTATTTTCAACAGTCCTTCTAAATAACTGTGAGTATAAAATTTCCAAATTAACTAATATTAATTACATTTGCAGAATATTAAAAAATCAGAAAAATACCAACTGTAAAATTCCTTGACAAATCCCTCTGCCAAAACTGCTGGGGCTTCCCCGTCTCCTTCACAGCTCTGTGGTTGCACAGTGTAGTAAGCTGGGCTACAAATGTGCAGGGAGGTCCTTTCCAGGGAGCAGGTGGAAAACCGTCCTGGGAGAGAGCCAGTGCACATGACCTGGAATCAGGTCTCTGGTCTCCAACCCACTAGGAAGACGGGAAGCAGCCAAGACGGCCAGCAAGTCTCTGCATCATTCCATCTGGGTCTTACCACCACAGTGATCCGTGTGAAAGCTAGCAATGTGCTTTGGCTCTAAGGAAAATGAAAAAAAGTGCAAAAGAACTTGAGAATCTTTGCAGTGGGTTCTCCCACAGTCCCATCTAACCAGTGGGACCAAAAGTCCAGTCAAAGTTGAGACCCAGGGCCTCTGTGAGAAAAGCTTCAAATTCTGGCTGAGAGAGGAGTAGCTGTGGGGAGACTGTGCATATCTAGGTTGCTTGAGATCATCAAAAGGTGCTCAGGAAGCAGAGGTCAGCACTTCATTTCAGGGTCTCTCTTGCACTTGGGAGTTTTCATCAAGCTCCTACATCTAGGAGTTCAAAGGCAATGCCCTCTTTCTCTGATTATAGAACTGGTATCCACAGACCGTGCACACACAGCAGGTTATTTCGAAGCTGTGCACTATTTTGCCTTGTCATGACCTGAGTGGGAAAGGAGACCTGACACAAAGATCTGGGGTCTCCGCTCTTCTCTGTCATCGCACTGAATGTTGATACTACCAGGGTTTTGTCCTTAGTTTCCTTCTCTCATCATTCTTCTCAACTCACTCCTGGGAAATCTCGTCCCCTCTCATGCTTTCAGTTATGTACTGAGGACTCAAATCTGTTATTTCTAGCACTGATCCACTCATCCAATTGCCAAATGGATGTTTTCACATTGATGAGCATTATTTTAGGCTGGTTACTTTTAAAACTGCAGATGGGAAGGAGGCTCTGAGGAGTGGAATTTGCTTGCCGTTTGATGAGAGACATTTGCATTTGTGAAGGAAGTCTCCATCTGTGGGGGGTGCCTCCCTCTCTGCACCAGGAGGAAGGCGGGATGGCCTTATTTCTGGAAACTCTTAATGGGGAAGGCAAGGACTTAAGTTGTTTACTGTCTGGCAACCTCATGTAACTGATTCCCCCCCAACATCCTCCTTTGTCTTTAGCTGAAGATAATATTTAAGCGGTGGCTTCTGCCATTTACTTAATCCGGTTTGATTCTTACCTAAAAGTTATAGGACCACCCAATAACCAGAACCTACCGGCACTGAGACCATTTTAACAACGCTTTTTACATATTCTTTCCTTTGTCTTGTAAAGAGATAACTCACATGCCTATGCCTTACATTTAGCCCTACTCTCCACCCATGTTTGCAGCAGCAGCTCCTCCTGCCCGTGGGTCCTGTCCCCATGCCAGCAGCTCTGACTGCCCGTGGGTCCTGTCCCCATGCCAGCAGCAGCTCTTTCTGCCCGTGGGCCCTGTCCCCATGTTATTCCATACTATTCGCTAAATAAAAGAGCACTACTGCCAGACCTTGAGAGTCCAAGAAATCTTTCTTTCGACTCCTTGGCTCACCGACCCCAGATCAACATGACTCCCCCAGAGACATTTCAAACTCATCATATCCCAAATAAACTCAGTGTCTCCCTTCCTCTCTTCTCCCCTTCCCTAAATCTCCGCCCCCTCCTATGTTCCTTCTCTCAATGGATAGCATGCCACCTTCCACCAGGCCAGACAGGCCAGAGATCCATCATCTTATGTTGCCCTGTCCTCTCCTACCCACTCCCATCCTTATCTAAAGCTAATTCAGCGCAAAGGGTGAAAGTATGAACTTATGTGAGGTGAAAAATTAGGTGACCAAAACAGGAACTTAAGAAGGGTAATTTACAGAGTGTATGACAATGGAAGGAAGACGGTAAACCAATAAAGAGGAGGTACCATCCCATTATTTCAAAACACGGCTCCTGATAAATAAACAACTATATTTCAAAAAGATAGGATGTGATCCATCTTCTCTTTATCATAGAAACATGTAAAATTTTGTCTTCTTGTTACCGAAACCAAAGTGGGTCCCCTCCTGGCGAGTTAAATCAGACTCTCCACCAGAGTAGTTGTCTCACAAAGTAGGGTATATTTGCAACAAATAGGAGACCGCGAGGAGTCATTTCCAGAGTCATGGCATCCTCGAACAAAGGGAGGCAGGGACATTTATTTCAGACAGGGAATGAATATTCCAAAGGGAGAGGTGGGTATTTGCTTGCACAGGCTCAGCTGGAAAACATGCCTGCACACACCCTGCTGGGGACGGTGATAAGGCCTAAGCTCCTCCTGGAGAGATCGTAGCATTCAAAATGAGGCAAAGGTCACAGGCACAGCTCTCCTGGTGAGGCCTGGTCCATTGAGCGTGGTTGGTGATTACATCTCTTAAACAGTTAAATGCTTCTGATTTGCTCAAGGTCACTCAACTAGTTAATGGAGAGCTGACTGTGTGACTAAGCTAAACCGATGCCCTGCCCACCACGCCCAATGGCTGGATCTGACTGGCCCTCAGTGAATCGCGGATGAAAGGCATCATCATTTGATGGAAGTCACAATCAAGCGCCCCTGTGTAGGTGAACGGGAGGCACTGCTCTCCCCACCCACCCAGTGGTGTTTTATTTGCGGGATAATTAATCCACAGTGCATGCAGCGACCATGACTGCTGATTGCTTTGAAAATGTCATGGGAATGCAGCTCAAAGAAACTCTGGAAAACTGCTTTGTGAAAATAATTTCAAAGACTCTTCTTGGGCAGCACAAATAAAAGGAAGCCTTTATTCTTTCTGCCTTCCTGGTGGATTCGCAGAGCTCATCCACCATCAGATGCGGCTCCATCGAGGGTACGTCTGCACTCACCATGGAACCAGGGAGCTATGGTGTCTGCCGTCTTCTGGTAGCCTGCTCGCAGTGGGAGCTGCTCTTCTCTAAACCATCGGATGATGTCCTCCTGGGCAGAGCTGGATGCTGTCCTCGTCACTCCCTGGTTTCTGTTAGTTATAAAACAGGCCTCCAAGTTAGATTTAGCTAATTTGAAAAAAATGCCTTTAAAAATCTTATATATATATATATATATATATATATATACACATACATACAGAGAGAGAGACAGAGGGAGGGAGGGAGGGAGGGAGACAGAAAGAGAGAATTATATATATTTGCAGATCTAACTGCATGGCTGAGCTAACAGGAGGCTGTGCCCCACAGGCTGCCATTACACAACTCCTCAAGAGCAGAAAACAGGAAGGAATCTAAATCTGTCACTTGTCCTTCCAGTTCTATAGGGCTAGTCGTGGGTATGACCTACTGCTGTGTTAACACATAGGCTTTAATTCATTTTTAATACAAATTAGATGCTCCATTAACTCCCAATTAAAATTAGAGAAAATAAGCATTAAAAAGTGAAATGCACTATTTTCCTAGAAAGCATGTACTTATAAACAAAAGAAATCAAATGCAATAAGATTAACTTCTTTCCTAACATTTTCATTACTTGATTTTCTCTTCTCTCTGTTCCCACTAACCTCCTTGATTTGCTTTCTTCTCTCCCACTTTGAAGAGGGTTACTTCTACTAGAAGACAGTCTTAGAAATGTAAAGTGTTTGAAGATTGGTACGAAAAACATATAGGCAGCAAAATTATTTTGAAATGAATTCATTAGCAGAACAGAACCTAAGTTCTGGGATGTCAGTTTCCATCACAAAAAGTGACATTCAATGTAATAAACATATTTCCACATCCCACACCCCAGCCCACTAATTCTGAGCAGAATTCAGTGTGAAAACAACGACGAGTCTGGATGCGCTACTGGAATGTCCCGTCGTGTAACTTATGGCTCCTTATGCTTTCTATGGTAATGTATGCTACCGTGAGTTACACGTGACATACACGTCACAAGTACATATATACACGCACATATGCATATTCATACATACATAGCATTTTGGAGAAAACAGCTTATAATTCTTGACTTTCCTGGGGAGCAGATACTGCACACACGTGAGATCACGTGATAAGTTCTTACTAGTTTTCAATTAGGTTGTTTTTCCTTGGGAAGTCTTTGGAAGTCAAACAAAAACTCCAAGGACAGCCAGTCTCTGTTTTCCTGGGCTGGCTCCCAGCTGACCTTGGTTATCATTGTTTAAAATCCCAGCCCTAAAACCAACCAGTCTGGCTGCTTCATAAGAAGCACTTCCTGCAAGTGTCTTAAGTTGGGAAAAATGAGCTAAGGGAGTACAGCTTAAAACAAGAATTGCTCTTATTAGAGGCCACCTTCACTGCTGTCAGTCACATACGGTGTGCTCTAAAAACATGAGGGCGAGGGCACATTACAGGTCATAGTCCCACCCTTGGAGCCTGGCGACCAGGAGCGGCACCTCAACAGCCCTGCGGCGACCTGTGGCGAAGGCCCACACAGACAGGCTGGGCGCTGCAGAGGGCCCTGCAGGAGCTCACACCTTTCTGACCCGGTCACAAAACTGTGGGACACCCGCTTACTGAGCGCCTTTCTTGTTTTGTTGTCTACAAGAAAGAAGTCATTCTCCAAACTGTCACTTTGTAGAGCATGGTCATTTAGTGTGGGTCCCCCGTCCCAAAATGGAACCTTCTAACTGAGTAAGCAGAGATGATTACAGCAGAGGAAAAGCCCACTTCACGTCTCCTTGAGGATAAATAGTGACTCTGAGCAAAGGGAGGTTTCTGTTTGCTTTTCACTTCTCCATACTCATAGCAGAGAAGTAATTTTAGTTTTTATTTCAGAAGGCAAGGCTGTTTCATTCAACCAATATTTGATTTCTCCTGGTTATTTTAAATATTATCCTTCTACATTTTAGAATATGAAAAAATTATATAATATAAATAACCAAGAAAAAATAATTTTATAACCAGTTAACATAAATGATGGGGATTCTACTGTGATATCACTATACTTTTCTTCAGGGATTTTCCAAAACAGTTTTGCCTAATTCCCCCGCAACCTAGGAGGCAAAGGTACCACTGTCACCAAACAGAAAGTTTATTCAAAAAACGAACATCTTCAAATTCTCAGCATAGGAGTTGGCCATGTACCCCAGAATGAGACCTACCATCACAGCTTTAATCCCTGGGCAACAGAAACGTGGCCCTAGTGATGAGGGAAGTCAGCACACCCTCGGGTTCCTTCTGTGACGTGCTTACTGCTGAGAGCGACACTGGGCACTGATGGCAGCCCGGGTGTTTCCTCTTCTCCCTCCCTCTGCTGGCTCTCTCGCTGCACTAGGTGCGGGTGGGCTTGGCCAGTGGCACAGGGAATTACTGAACTGCATGCCCATCTTCACTGAGTTCCTGGGTATATTAACTCTAACAACTGTGGATATTTCACAGATAAGAAGGGGAATGCCAGACCAGGGAGCTCAGGAAGACAGGCTTAGCGGTGAGGCTTGACGTACAGTCACGCACTGCATAACGACGTTATGCCAACAATGGACCACATACACGACGGTGGGCCCATAAGATTAGTACCATACGGCCTAGGTCTGTAGGAGGCCGTACCATCTAGGTACGTGTAAGTTCACTCTATGATGTTCACACAATGATGAAATCACCCAGTGACGTATTTCTCAGAACGTATCCCCGTCGTTAAGCAATGCGAGACTAATTACACAGGCAGCCAGCTGGCCTTCCACTTGCCATTGCCCGTCATGCCATTTGACTCTAATCCCCCCATTTCAACCGTTCTGCTTAAAGCCATCTGCGTGGCTTCTTACCTAAGAGGATTCTGAGGGTATCCCGCTGGGCTTAGGAACTGAGGCTTGGGTGGAAGAGGGGGTCTCCTGGGTTTCTGTGGAGCACCTGGGGGCCTCTGCAGTCCCTCGCTGCCTCTTCCTCTTTGGGCCCCTAGGGATAACCTCTTGTAGTCTTCCCGAGCTTGTTTAGCCAAGGAGCGTCTCTTCTCATCTGCTGCTTTGGATTTTCGCACTGGAAAAGCAAAGGCGTTTGAGAAAGGCCCTGTCAGCCCCCAAGACGGTCAGAAGAGCCAGCACTGCCGCTGGCGAGCAGAGCAGGCGCTCAGCCCATTCTGTCACCTGACGATAATGAGCCGCCACCATCAGACAGTTAGGGCCTGCGCGTGCACCACTGCCTGGCGCTCCCTGCGGATTCCTCTCTGCATAAGGGAGTTTGGCAACTTTCCGAGAGGGAGAGAGAAGCAAGAGGAGGAGGAAGTGACCAGATAGAAATGGAGAACCACATGTTCGAGGACTTCCTGCAGTTGGCAAGACTGAGTGACAAGTCACAGCCTGAGTGGGGATTCCATGCAGCAGGGTCTCTGAACAGTTAGAGGTGATGTCACTCCCTCGCATACTAAGTTCAGGATGCCATGTGCCCGGAGTCGCTAGCAAAGACTAGGCCTTCAGGAGTTCCTCGGTGGCTTGTGGCTGTGGACGGTGACAGAGCATTGCCAGGGCCACACTCAGAGCCCACTGTGAGCTGAACCAAATGTGAGTCAGTCTGCCAGGCCAAAAGATAAAGTGAGTGTTACCACAGAAAATCACAGAACACAAAGGTACACAAAAAGTACCCTAAGGCTGCCTTGTAATACTGCTTTGTAAAATAGAGGGTTTATTGTTTTGTTTTGTTTTTGTTTTAGCAACAAAGTGTTAACTTTGTTGTTAGAGAACTCCAATGCAGGATGAAAGAATAATTTTTATTGAATGTATTTACACTTCAGGCATATTGGTCAAATCCTGTCATGTTTGACTGCAAAGAGATGCCAAAAATGCTCCATTACACTAGGATTTCACTGCGTAGAAGTCACTGGATCTTGTAAATATTTTCATTTCACAAAACTGTCATTTTAACAGTGTTCACTGTAGAGGAACTAAAGATTAATTTAGGCTTCTCAGCATCCTGCAAATACTGCCTCTCCTATTCTCTTCCTCGAGCTGCCTCAAGGGATGATCTTTGTCAAGTCAGATGGAAACCCTAATCCTGTCTCAAACCTGAATTCGCCTGGCATTCCTGGGCTGCTCTGCTCTGCCTTCATCTGTGCTGACTTCCTCCTGAGATTTCTCTGTGGCAGTGCTAACTCAGGGTCAGGGTTGGGTCAGGGCATGGGAGAGATGCTGACACATCCCCTCTTATTCCTGTGCTCTTCTGACCACAAAGTTAAGATATGTTCACTGTTGGAAATTTAGAAAAATACAGAATGACGACAAGAAGAATTCAAATAACTAATCTCAAATCCCACCACGCCAAGAAAACTAAAGTTAACATGTTAACAACCTTCTGGTCGTTTTCCTTTACATACTTAAAGACATTTTTAAATAGGGATTTTCTTATATTGTTTTGTTTTTCTTCTCCAAGATAAAAACATATAAACACATTCCAAGGTCATAAAACACTCTTCCAAAGCATTTTTTTTCATAGCTATATACCGTTCCATCATAGAAATATGTCATAATTCTGAAGGTACAGAGATGAATTGAGACCTTTTCGGCTATTCAGCAAGTGGCTCGTAAAGCCTTTGGGCAATGACGTCGTGTTAGAACGTCTCTCCACGGCCACTTTAAGTGCAGTGACCACTTCCAGCACTTTAAGGCTAGATCATTTCAGTACGTGAAAGAATGGGCCTAGGGAGGCGAGGGTGGCCCAGAGGCCTCTGGGTACTCACAAGATGCCTGCCACTCTGAGTCTTCTTTCCAGTTCTTATAAATCTCCTTGGTTCTCTCTTCATCTATTTGTTTTATTTCTTCATCCTCTGTTTTCTTTGTAGATTCTTTCTTCTGTTTAAAAAACCAGACACAAACCCCAGTGAGTGACTCTGGCAGTTTTCTGAGAGGACACGGGCTCCTGGGACACTTGATTCCTCTTTAACTGCCTCTGGCCCCTGGGAAAGCATGGAGCCAGTGGGACCTGAAGCTGGCCCACCGCTACGTGGCCGTACAACCCCACAGCTGGTTACTAACCCTCTCAGGCTGCTTGCCTCTAAGTAAAATTAGAAAGTTAAAAGATACTTTGTAGGGTTATAATGAGAGTTAAATAATTTTAAAAAGTGCCTAGTACAGTGAGTAACAACTCAGTCAATGTTCATTTTCCTCAGACACAGCTCTTCTCTGCTTCAACTGAGTTCCCTGAAGTAGTGTGTAAATGCTGTCTCACGGCAGCAGCGTCAGGTTCCACAGAACAACGGCGCGATCCTGGAGCAGTGTCCGTGTGCACCCTCAAACCACCGGTCTGGAAGGGTGGTCCCTACGCGTGATTTTAGGGGCTCAAAAAGGTGGCTTAAGAAGCATCCTCTTTGAGAAGGGAAAATACAAAATAAGAAACATGAGTCTTCCTTTAAAAAGGAATTCATCTTTTTGTGTGTGCGGTAAAATATACAGAAAATAGAATTTGCCATCTTAAGCATTTTTAAGTGTATGGTTCTACGGCATCAAGTACATTCAAGGGAATTAGTTTTTAACTAGAGAAATCAACACACCAAATCACTTGACCTCAAAAGTTCCTGTTTATTTGGCTACAGCCTCCTGCGTGCTTGTGAGGAAGGTGAATTTACACTTGGTGAGCTAAAGAGAAGCCTCGGCTGGCTGGGGGCTGGGGGGTGGTCAGAGAGACGGACCTGCTTCGCTCTGCACCACAGAGACATCGGGTGGGTTTCTTTCATGCGTTCCTATAGAAAGACAGAGACCTTCTTGCTGTTCAATTATTTCACCACAACTAAAATATAAACCTTGATGCTGTGAAACTTGTTTTTAATCATCGTGGGAAGTCATAAATCATAGTTCTCACAGAACAGGGTGGTAATCACTTCAAATGTCACTAACTGTGTATTTATTGTTTTCATCTTTTTTCTTACATTCTAGAGCAGAGCCCCCTTTGTCTACCAATATTATAAAAAACAAAGAACAGCTTTTGGAGTTTGAAATGACTATTAAAATCTGCCATGCCCTTACTGAAGCTGTTTACAAACCTAAAATACATAGGAAATGCTGCTGGTACTTTCTAAGCTTAAACAGAAAAAAATTAAAAGTGGAGCATTGTCTTCCACATGCATGTTTTAAAATGATTAGAAATAATATAGTTACAGCATTGAACTATGATATCGTGGATATCGTTGCTTAGGAAAAGCACGAAGTTTACAAGGTGAGTCTACTTAAGGGAAAATATTAAGTCAATAATAATTCAGGTGGTACTTGGTTAATAAGACAGTACTCAAATGTCGGAGAGTGCGATACGGCCTATGCCTTTTCATCTGCGGTGTAATCATGTATGGGGAAAGGAGACAAAATTACTGAGTTTCACAGAGTAACAGCAGATGAGAGCTGGCCCTAACCGCTGTATTTATTCAAAGCAGCTAGAAAACTTTAGAACTTGTCCTGAGTTTCTGTAAGAATTCCTCCAGAAAATTTACTTTTAGCAAAATCTTTACAAGTTGATCTTTATTTAGAAAAGCGTTGTTCCTTCTTTAGAAGTGTCTGCTGGGAGCCTGCAGGTCCAGGAGGGGGACCGTGACCACGCTGGGAAAGTCCAGGTGAAGGCTGGCAGTGAGGCAGCAGGACTGAGGCTGGACACTGGCCCGGACGTCCAGGGCTCGAGCTGTCGAAACGTCTCCTACAGAACACCTCGTCTGGGCCTGTGGACGGAGACACGTCCCACGGCCCCGGGGCGGGAAGGGTCTGTTGCATTAGCTTTGTACCACACAGAGGCTTGGTAAGTGGCCTCTCATCCATTTGCTTGAATTCTGACGTAATTTCCTAAGGTGGAGAAGAAGGGATGAAATGGCACAGCCCGGGGCATTCTCGTGAGAGGGAGTGAAAGCTGTGGAAGCCTAGCTGTGTCACACCTAAAACGTCTGAGCGCCACTCATCTTGTCCACCCCTCAGTCTAGAGACAAGAAACCTCAGGCCCAGTCTAAACTCTGATGGACCTCAGACCTCAGACCACTTCTCTCTTCCATCTAAACTCACTCTCCGGATGATCTCATCTAGCATCCTGGCTGGAAATATCCCCTAGATACCAGTCCTCATGGAGGTCTGCAGGGTCTCTCTGCCCCCCTCTGCCTTCTCCTGCCCTGACTGCTCTGCCGCTCCTTGACCAAGTCAAGTGGGCTCTTGCCTCTGTGCGTCTATACGTGCTCTTCCTTTGGCCTGCAAAATACTCTCCCCAGCCATCCGCACAGCTCCTGCCCTCATTCCTTCAGGTCTCTACTCCAGTATCGCCTTCGCAGAGCGGCCCTCTCAGTGTAAATGATAAGAAACCAGTTCCCACTCTCCAGCATTCCTCAGCTCCCTTATCCTGCATTATTCTGATCCACAGCGCTTATGACAATTCAAAGAAATGGTTACCATCTGTCTCCCCACCTGGAACTCAAGCTTCCTGAGGACTGGGACTTTAGCTGTTTTGTTCACTGTGTCTCCAATGCCCGTGACAGTGCCCAGAACATAGGAGAAACGCAATAAAAATTGGTTGAATGAACACAAAGATCCTTCGTCTTTCTCATCTGTCCTCATTTAAGATAATACAACGTAATCTGGGCAGCGTTATTGAAAATGTCCTTTAGATGCTTCATGCTGCTGTTTTAGAAAGAGGTACGTATTATATCAGCAGTTTGCGCACTGGGATGACAGCTCCAAAAGTCCAGCACAATCCCTTTAAGTCTCAGACATGTGAGCTCTCCCATTCACGCAGGTCCCTAGAGAGGAGTCAGGGAGTCGATCGTCTGCAGGAACGTGGGCCTTGGGGCTGGCCTCTACCACGGCCCCAGTCTCAGGCCTGTGGTCACTCAGAACCTTCTTTTTGTAGTCTCGTATCTTACCTACTTTTTCAGACTTTCTACAGGTCAAATCCTACTATGGTTTCCAAGTGCCAGTCTACGGCTCGTTTATTGTGAGCGATGTACAGTAACAATCTAGACGATGGAGGAAGCGGACTCAAGCGTCTGGATGGACGCGAGCGAGATCTGAGTGCCCGAAGGAGCTCCTGCACAGTGGACATGGATGGCACAAGAGACTGCTTATCGTAAAGGGACAGATTCACAGAAACAACGAACACACGAGGAACTTGATCTGAACTCACTATTTCTGCAAGTTCAGTGCTTCATCTGTCGCTCTGAAATCAGCCCTCAGTGTTGCCAGCAGCCCAGTACTGTCTCTGTTTTAGATCTTCTGTGAGGAGGGTCGTAGGTATGTCTTGGCCTCTGTTTTTTCCATGATACTCAAGACTTCCAACTCCAGATAAACAGGTAAAGATAAATAGCTATTTCACAAGCTTTTAACGACAGACCTCACGTTCTGCTGCTTAATATCATTTCTGCATGAGACTAATAGACCAATTTAGTATTTAGTAAACATAGTGGAAATGGCTATGCATTTAGTCCCCTGAAGACAGAATTGAGTCTTTTACCTGGTGAAATCCATATGCCTTCATACGATTGATAGAATCTGCCAACATCTGTTGAATATTTCTTGAGGAACTGGAGGGTGACTAGAAATTAAATGAAACACATTTTTATACCATTTAGAGCTTCAGTGCAATTTCAGAAGATAATCTGTAAACGCATTTCCTCATTTCAATGTTCCCTAATGCTGCCCCCACCCTCACAACTGGATCCACCAGCCCCTGAGTTCCTGAGCCAGTCATGACCAAGGCGGCAGGCATGGGAAGCCTCAGCCTCCCCACTCAGTAGGGCTTCCAAGAGCCTGGAGCTGGTGGTTTGCTCATTACAAGTAAGTGTCTGGGTCTTGCTCCCAGCTGCGCTGGGCCCCTGGGATGACTTCTAGACATCAACATGACTCTGTAATTCAAATTCTCTTCTTCCTCTCTTAATCCCTGCTCTAACCTATCCCCTGTTCCAGTTCAGACCAGAGAAATGCTTAGTCTCTGCCACATAACTGCATATGCCTTGCTCCCTGTCTAGGACTGGAGGCATGCCTGGAATACTGTTTGGTGCCTGGGAGGCCTGCCCACTTTCCCTGCCTGATCACATTCCTCCTCTCTCCTCCCCCTGCCCTGTCACCCAGCACAGCATCTAGGTTTCTGCTGCTCTAGATGGATTTCCCAGGAGGCAACACCTGTCAGTGGGGTTCCCAGATCCATTGTCTGATTCCCCTGGTGTCATTCCCGCTGGCCACATGCCAACCCCTCTGGCATTGTGACCAAGCTGGCATACCACACAGGGCGCCTCAAGACCAGGTCAGTTACACATGTCCCCATCACCCTGTCCCTGGCCTAAATGCAGAGTCTGGGCCAAGTCCCAGCATGGGCCACAAAGGCCCTGGATGGCTCCACATAGCCATCCACAACCCACATTACCATCACTATGTGCCTTATGTGTGATCAGAAACTGGCTGCAAATTTTCAGCAAAAAGTTGATAGCAAGATTCATTGTGGAGCACTTTAAGGCCATTACTATGCCATGTAATAAACCAGGATGGCTACCTCTCAATTCTGCCCTTCTTTTACAGTAGCTGGGCATGTGGCTACCCGGCTACACTGCGTTTCCCAGCTGCCCTAACAGTTAGGTGTGCCACGTGAATACGTTATCTCCAATATAAGGCAGGCGATAACTGGTATTTCTATCTGGCCCTTAAAATCTCCTTCACGCACGCCTCCAGGCCACTTGCCCCTTCCTTTGGGCTGGAATGGTGATAGCAGTCATGCTACCACTAAAGACAACCGAGCCATCAGAAGCCTGAGTCCCTGAATGACGGTGTGGACCTGAGCCCCCCTGTACCAGAGCACCCATCCTGGGTGTGCTGAGGGAGAAAGATGAACTTCTCCTGTGTTTTAGCCATTGCTTTTTTGGTCTACAGTTGTGCATCACTTAACAACAGGGACACGTTCTGAGAAACGCGTCATCAGGTGACCTCGTCGTGTGAACATCAGAGAGTGCACTCACACAAACCTGGACGGTGTAGCTCACTACACACCTGGGCTATACGGCATAGCCTATTGCTCCCAGGCCACAGACTTGCACAGTATGCTACTGTACTGAATACTGCCGGCAACTGTAACACAGTGGTAAGCTAAACATATCTAAGCAGAAAAAATACAGTGTAAATGACAAAAAATGGTACACTTCTATAGGGCACTCACCACGAATGGAGCCTGCAGGACTGGAAGTTGCTCTGGGTGAGTCAGTGAGAGAGTGGGGAGTGAATATGAAGGCCTAGGATGTTACTGTGCGCTACGGTAGACTTTAAAAACACCACACCTAGGTTACATTAAATTTATTAAAAAAATTTTTTTCTTCAATAACAGTTAACCGAGAGGAGGGTGGTCTCCAAGATGGCGCCGTGAGTAGTCCTCTTTGTCTCTCGCCCTTCGAGTCTACAATTATTTGGACACTTATCGCTTGACAAAGGATATCCAGACAGCATCTCAGGACGTCTGAGACACCCACGCGACTATACATCGGAAGGCGGACGGACTTTCCTCCGGGAGGATGTGGAAATAGGTGAAAACTCTCCGACCCCGACGGGCAGCCTAGTACCCGCAAGCGGCTTTCTTCCAACGGACGCCCCCAGAGGATCCACACACATCTAGGGCAGGAGCGAGAACACAACAGAGGAGCGACGGTGGAAACAGGTGACCAGAACCCTACTTAAACCCCCCGCAATTACTCCTAAACGCAGAGGGAAACTTTGGAGTTGCACACCTGAGCCCGCGGGGAGAGTCTCTCCCCGCCATTGGCGGGGAGACCCGGCCTGGTGCTCGGGGCGCCCGGAGGGTCCCAGAGAGAGACACGGTGGGCACGGAGGTCTCCCAGCTGCCGTTGCCCGCCCCGTGGGACTAGGGATTGCCGGAGATCTCGGAGAGGACCGGGGCGGGGGATCTTTCAAAGGCGGGTCCGGCGACCCGGTGGGGAAGCGCCGGAGCTCCGCCAGGCAGCAGACAAAACTCTCTGTCTGCCGGTAGCAGAGGGGCCACGCTGAGCACTCAGGGCTCCCGGCAGAGGCCCGGAGAGAAGCCCAGAGGGCGGGGCGACCCCCAGCTGCCGTTGCCCACCCGGTGAGGCTAGGGATTGCCGGAGATCTCGGAGAGGACTGGGGCTCGAGAGAGTTCCAGAGACCCAGCTTAGTAGCCTAGGGGGAAACCCTACAGGCTCACAGAAGCCTTAGGGAAAGCCTCTGCACAGCACCAGTAGAAGGCACCCAGCCGCCAGCCACAAGGCTGGAAGACCCCAGGGCAAAAGCAGCATAGCTAGGTGTACTAACCACAGACTGTATAAGATGCCAATAGCTCTCCTGCGACCCATAGAGGACAAGTGAGATTTGGTGGGTGCCGACAGCAACCGAGCGACAAATAAAAGTGATCCCACCCCTGGCCGCTGGAAAAGCCCATAACACCGTTGCAGACCCCAAGGAGAGAGCGCATCTAGGTGGGCAACAACAGTAGGCACCTGCAGTCTGAAGCCCCCCGTGACGGCCCCACGGCAGAGGAGGGAATCCAAAGGGCCACTGTGGCTACGAAGAGGGGCCCAGGCCCAGTTAGCAACTACGGACAGGGTTCCTGGTTGGTGAAGTATAAACAGCTGCTCCCCCCACCGCAGCAGCTGAAACAAGTGAAAGGAGCAACTAAACTCTATCTCCATGCGGAGGCACAAATCAACATCATCAAGCAATATGAAAAAATACATTAAATCTCCAGAACAGAAAGAAAGTAACAAATACACAGAAAACAATCCCAAAGAAAATGAGATATATAACCTAAATGATGATGACTTCAAAACAGCCATCATTAAAATACTCACTGAGTTAAGAGAGAATTCTGACCGACAACTCAACGAGTTCAGGAGCTATGTCACAAAAGAGTTTGATACGATAAAGAAGAACCAAACAGAAATACTGGAAATGAAGAACACAATAGAGGAGATTAAGAAAAATCTAGATGCTCTGAACAGTAGGGCCGATAATATGGAGGAAAGAATTAGCAAATTGGAAGATGGCAATATAGAATTGTTGCAGGCAGAGGAGGAGAGAGAAACAAGACTTAAAAGAAATGAAGAAACTCTCCGAGAATTATCAGACACAATTAGGAGATGCAACATAAGGATTATAGGTATACCAGAGGGAGAAGAGAAGGAGAAAGGGGCAGAAAACCTATTCAAAGAAATAATGGCTGAGAACTTCCCAAATCTGGTGAGGGAGATGGATCTTCAGGTGACAGAAGCCAATAGATCTCCAAACTTTATCAATGCAAGAAGACCAACTCCACGGCATATAGTAGTGAAGCTAGCAAAAGTCAACGACAAGGAGAAAATATTAAGGACAGCCAGGCAAAAGAAACTAACCTACAAAGGAACCCCCATCAGGCTATCAGCAGATTTCTCAGCAGAAACTTTACAGGCTAGAAGAGAGTGGAATGATATATTCAAAAATCTGAAGGACAAAAACCTACAGCCGAGAATTCTCTACCCAGCGAAAATATCCTTCAAATACGATGGAGAAATAAAAACTTTCCCAGATAAACAAAAATTAAGGGAGTTCATTGCCACAAAACCTCCTCTTCAGGAAATCCTCAGGAAAACCCTCATTCCTGAAAAATCCAAAAAAGGAAAGGGGCTACAAAACCAAGAGCAGAGGAGATAAGTAGAAGGACAACAACAGAGAGTAGCAGCTCTACATCAGAACAGATTAAACCATGGGACGAGAAACAAAGGAAACTGAAGAAAACCGGAAAACAAGACACAAAATGGTAGTGGTAGGTCCCCACGTCTCAATAATCACTCTAAATGTAAACGGATTGAACTCCCCAATCAAAAGACACAGAGTGGCAGGATGGATCAAAGAACAAGATCCAACAATATGCTGCCTCCAGGAAACACACCTCAGCCCCAAAGACAAACACAGACTCAGAGTGAAGGGATGGAGAACAATACTCCAAGCTAATAATGAACAAAAGAAAGCAGGTGTCGCTATACTAATATCAGACAAGGTAGATTTCAAAGCAAAACAGATAAAGAAAGACAAAGAGGGACAGTATATAATGATAAAAGGGACTCTCCACCAAGAAGACATAACACTTATAAATATATACGCACCCAACACAGGAGCACCAAAATTTGTAAAGCAACTCTTAATAGAACTAAAAGAAGACATCAACAACAATACAATAATAGTAGGGGACCTCAACACACCATTAACACCAATGGACAGAACATCCAGACAGAAAATCAACAAGGAAATAATAGAATTAAATGAAAAATTAGACCAGATGGACTTAATAGATATATATAGAACACTTCATCCAAAAACAGCAGGTTACACATTCTTCTCAAGTGCACATGGAACATTCTCAAGGATTGACCATATTTTGGGAACCAAAGCAAACATCAATAAATACAAGAGAGTTGAAATAATATCAAGCATCTTTTCTGATCATAACGCTATTAAACTAGAAATCAACTACAAGAAAAAAGCAGAGAAAGGTGCAAAAATGTGGAGACTAAACAACACGCTTCTCAACAAACAATGGATCATTGA